GGCTTCATCGGTTCTTTCTTATAAAAAGTTCTTTGAGGGACAACTTCGGGTTATATATTATTTATGGCGTCTTCCGGCCTATCTGATGTCGCAGCGGAAGAAGGGGGAGCAGATACGACAAAAGCCAAGGTGAAATATTAATTTTTCTGCTTGTATTAATATTCTGCTAGTAGTAAGTTTTATAATATTTCGAATTGTCTTTATTTTTTAATGTTATGAACTCAACTACATTAGAATTGACAGATATAGTTGGATGAACACAAAAATAACTTTATAAATACGACAATTCAGACGCTTTTCACGTGCCATTTATTTTGCGTTGATTTGCATCGGGCAGGAGTATTTTGTCAATGCCTATCTAATATATCAGGCCACACTCTGCCTGTTGGGACAAGGCATTGGTAGGTGCCTAAATGTGTATTTTTTTACAATTAGCTAACCTCAGGATGGTCCAAGTGTGGCAAGGGTTCCTGTCCAAATTGTGGTTTGCAATATAGTTGCCGTTACAAGCCACCAAGTTGTTCAGGATGCAATTTTGAGCTTGGAGGATCATATGTCCCTAAAAAAAAGCCTCGTCCATTGGTGCCTAAGTGTACCTTGGTGGTGCAGCCATCAGACGGGTTATCAATCTACTCGGTTAATACCAGTACCCATGATGATCGATGTATTGTGGTTCGTGAAGAGGCTTCATCTATGTGTCAGCATCACCTGTGTAAACAGAATAGAGCCATTCATATTAACAGCCAAAAAGTGGCAAGCTTTAGTTGTCAGCATTTGGAATCCACCAGAGATTGTACAACTCCTCTTCAGACATTCAATGGGATATCAGATGAGGTCATTTCCAGTTATCTCTGTGATGATGAAACAAAAAAAAACCCTGGCAGAAGTGGCAAATGCATCAAAGGCACAGTCATTTCCAGTTGTTGTGCATGTTTCTCCAACTATGTATTGCGTCTTTGGAATGGCAACCACAAACAACACTGTTGGATATTGCCATGTCAAGGTAACTGAAAAGGAAATTAAATGCTGTTCCAAAGACTGCAAAGGTATGTTGAAGAGCAAGCAGCAAAAGTCCCGAAAAGTTTGCACCCACATCCATCTTTTATTGGCTCTTGGCAATTTTTTACACACAACGAATGTGTGTCAGCAGACCTTCCCCCACCAATAGTGCCAGACAGTTCCTTGACAACAATTGACAGAAGGGGAGCAAGTCTCGCAAGGCAACCATGGGACTTAAAATGAAGTTAAAGTTGCCATATGTCATTCCAAAACCCATTATTCAGGCAGCAGGTAAAATGGATTTTTCCGGGTGGCCAGAGCAGTTTGAACCAGACCAAACTTTGTGTGATTTGTGTAAAAGTCCTCTTGGTCAGTCCAAGCCACACCCAAATGAACGTGGGCGATCAATCATAATGACCAATGGATGTCCATTCAAAACAGTCAAAATGCTAGTCAAAGATTGCTCATGTTGCTTTGCTATGCACCAAGTGTTTCCCTACACATTAGGTAAGTATATACAGTTCAATATTTTTTTGTAGTAAGTAATTCTATGTTGACAGGTGAGTTTCTATTTCACAGTGTACATGTTGGCTCAGGGACAAAGGTTAATTTGATTCAATTTTATTGCCTTTTAGGTCTGTTTAATATTAGTGACAAGGTTCTGGTGGCACTTGAAATTCTATTAGACTTCCGAGAATTGTTCAAAAGAGGAGTGCCAATTTCTGTAGCCATAAAAAGTAAATTAGCTGTGATGGTCCAGAAAGTTGAGGTAATTTCAAGATGATTGTGTATGTACTATGCAATAGTATGCTGTACAACTGCCTAGAATCTGTCAGTGTCAGATTAGTCTTAGTATTTACAATAGGACTAGTCTAATAAATTGGCAAATCGTCTGGTATGGGAATTTGTTAAGGCCCTGTTAAACGATGCAATTTTTCTTGAAACTTGCAACTCCACTCTTGACTGATGTAACATTGGCAAAGTGTGACTTCACGAATTAAAATCTCTCAAGAGTAGCATTGCATTGCAAGTTGCAAAAAAAATTGCACTGTGTAACAGGACCTTTAGTCTTGCTCTAAATATTAACAAAGTATCCTGTTGTATTTATTAAGGAATCGCCAACAGAAAATGAGTTGGAAAGTATTGCTACACATTTGTACAATGGGTTTTATTGCTTTGAGGCAATAACTGAACGCAATATGGATTCAGGTGTTTGTGGAATTTGTGGTACTGTTGGTGAAGTGTATTTTGGGGATAGGAATGAAAAAAATTGCTGCAGCATTAGCGAGGTAAAGCATTCATGGACCAGAATAGCCACATGAGAATTTTAGCAACATTTTGGTCTTTAGTAGTGTTCAATTATTAGAATGTCCTTGCTGGTCTTTAGCCTGTTCTCAGATCCCTCTGATTTGCCAGGGCTTCTTACACAAAATATTCGCATTTTCATTGTAGATTGATTACTCACCACTACAAGATATAGATTGTGAGGAAGATGATCCTATTTCCTTTGAGATTTTCTTGGAGAAATTAAAATACAATTTGGTGGAAAAGACAACCTACACACGATCGGAAAAGGCCACTATCTACTTTTCCACCATTCCACCAGTCATAGCCCCATCATTGAGAGGTACAAAATTGTTCAACACTGAAGGGGAAAAAAAATGCTTTTCTCAAGCAATATGGCAAACCTAATAAAGGTTTGTAGCATTACTCATAGTACAATTTAGCCATTCAATTAAAATAATAAATGCAATATAATACAGCTTGTTTGTGACCATGAATGGTTATTTGGACCAGAATTGATTTTTTAAGTGAATTTAATTATGCATCTGTTGCACAGGTGATCCAGCTCTTTTGCATCATTGGATATCCACTCAAGTAGTTGACATGAACACAATTGAGCAATGCAGTGTCGAGAAGCTAAAAGAACTTTGTCATTTGTGTAATATAGCAATTTCAGGCAAATCAAAGGTATTTACTGTAATTTACGATTGTGACTTGGTATTAATTTACACGAAATAACTTGCATTTTATTTCTTCGCGTCAGGCAAGAATGCTCATTGATTTGCGGTCATTGTATGAAACCTTGCTGGTTGGTTCATGTCCTTGCCATGGCTTCACAAAAGTGCCAGGGCATACTGGTGGTTTCTACCACATTGTTTGTCGCCATGGCGTAAGTATAGAAATATTTCACCTGCAATGCAACTCTACTTTTGAGACATGTAAATTACAAAAGTACAACTTATTTCGTATTGTTCTCTCAGCATATCGAACATCTTCACTGACACTAATTAACATCTCTCAAGAGCAGAATTGCATTGCAAGTTGCGAGAAAAGTTGCACCCTGTAACAGGGCATTTATCATCTTGTTTTCTTAGACAACCGTAGCCCTAGTCTTAGACGTATACAGTGTTATACCATTTAGAGCATTTATAAAATTTACATTTATAGAATTTTTACTCTGGGTGTTCTAAAAAATAATCCTTTTGGGTGTCCTTTCCTTTCAGGTAACCGCAGCTTCAAAGTTTCTGACTTTACAGGAGTCAGTAAGACATGCTGCCGATCTCTATTTATCATTTAAGCATATTCCTCTTGTTTTTCTTTGCGACACGGCTTGTGGGTTTGTCAGGCACTTAGAGTGCCGGGTCAGTAAAGAAATGACCGAACAGCTATGGAAAGATAACAGAAGGTGTTTTGAGGTACCATCGTTGGATAAACCACCATCAAAGGTATCGTTTACGAAAAATCTACATATTACTGGTGTATTGTGCACATTCATTGCCCTGCAACATTTTTGTTCAGTCAAGGCTAACTTAAGATATGACTGGAAAACAGTTTAGAATATTCTGAAAACCCATAAAATGGAACAAATAAATTATTAATTTTGTCGTCATGACACTTCTAGGAAATGAGTGTCCCTATGCTGACAACAGCAGAATACAGAAAAAGTGACAATGATATGATACAGGTGGAGGATGGTAGCATGATTCATCCATTGACAGGCACATCCAGGAGATATGTTTTAGGTGACAGATTTCACACAGCAAGCAATCCTCACAAGTCACCCCTTTGTGAATATCACAACATAAATCTTTTGTCTCAGTCGAACACGATAAAAACAAGCTATCAAGAGTCCGAAAACAACCGAAAGAATGTGCGACGGTTACGAAGCTCGACAATGCAAAATTTTTCCACACACTATTTTTATAACTTTTTGATGGATTTCTATCAAAATGAGGAAATAGTAAAAAAGCAACACGACGTAGCTTCGAGACAGCTAAAACCTGGGCAGATGTTATGCAGGAATTCATATATGCAATTTGTGATAAAAGATGGTGAAAAATAAGCATTAGGGTTATTACTCATCGCGCGCTTGTTGATTACGTTGGGTAGGTGGAGCTCATCAGTCTTGGAAGACAGTCCACCTAGGAGAAGGAAAACTCTGATTTAAAACCCCCGGACTCGTGCAATAAATGGGTCAGGCTGTCCATGTCGGATTCATTGATGCTGCTAATAATTATTGCAATACTTAATGTTTCCTAGGCATGCTGACGAGCCCTGAGATAGGGCAAAACAGCCATTATACACGAATTGTTATACATAGTATTATTTATTGGATCTAGTTTTCATAACTTTTCATATCTTTAGCAAGCAACTGGACGGTTTATTCGTTCTTTAATGTTTTCAATTAAATTATTTTTAGATTTCTGTTTGCAGAAGTCGCACAGCCTATAATGAAAAAAACAACTTGTTTGAACGTCAATCATATTTATAGGACGTTGAAGTATTAACATTACTGTAAATGTATTGACTTACCACTTTCCTTTAGGTACTCTTTCAATTCCTAGGCACTCCTGATGGTAGTAGCCTTTACCTGGACACTATAGTTATGGTTGAAAAATAAGCAGTTATTGACCGACATTAAGTTTTAAGGAAACTATTAGTGGGATACGAGATGTAGTATCGTTTATTTTACAGATAGTGGAATGAACATAGAAACCTCAACCAGACAACATAAGATTGCTTTTATAAATTTCTCGTACATAAGGTTCTGGGACAAGAAACTCTCGGAACTGAGAAAATATATGCGAGCTTAACTGTTTTACTGCATTTGAGCACAATGCAAAATCGAATCTAGTCTATATGTACTATTTTATACATACGTTCTTTTTGTTTGTGGTTTCACATATCAGCATCATGTCCTCCGATTCTTTATCTCTTTCCTGGAACGATTATGGTATATACATCATTGTATATACATTGTATATACATCGTGCAACTTGCTCTTAATTCAGAACTGCGTGACACAAAGTTCAGAAGTTCTAGCCGGTAAGAGAACTTAGGGGGAAAACTAATGTAAATAAACTGATCAATGATGATAATGTATTTTCCTTTAATGCTGGTATCATGCATGAATAAAAAGGACTTAGACAGGAATTGCACTGGTCCAATATGAATTCGGGGACACGCAAGTTTCCCGTCCGAAAGTTACCGTCTCGTCCAAACAGTGGGAAAATTATGCAGATATTGAAAAATTGTATAAGTACGTCATAGAACTAGATGTATGATTTACCTCTTTGCATGAACACCATTTGTATACTTTAATTTTGCCGGAATTCGGAGGACATGATAATCCACTCGTCCCAGCAGTTGTCCCAACACTTTTATTATCAGATCGTGTAGAGCCTATATGTGATTTAAAAAAAGAAAATATGCTCATCAAAATGTTGATGCAAAAAGTGCATGGATTTGGACAGACACACTTGTTAATCAGAACTTCTTTTACTTACTCCGAGGAAGAACGCCAATAGCACCTTCTGCAAATAATCGCTTTCTGGTGTGCGATTCACCTGTAATTAGTTAAAAGGCATAGACATATTTATGTTATATATATATATATTATATATACAGTAATTTATATAATCGTACTTGCAAACCACACAAGACACATCGTATATCGTTTACCTCTTGCAGGCATTTCATTTGCTTGCTCGCAGACGTTTTGATCGCCAGTTGCTATTGGGGTTGAATCGGGAATTTTGTCTTGGGAAGTTCTCACGTCTGTTGTATTGTGATCTAAGATAATTGGAAAGAGCAAAATAACGTAAATGAATTGTATGCCGGGCAGCAACAGGTATTGCATTGAGTCAGGTGCACGCAACTGTAGTAACGAGCATAAATATTCGCATGCAAGCTGAATAAGTCAAATAAAACGAACCTATTTCGGGTCTCTTTATTATTTTTTGCGCGACTTCAATGGCCTGTAAATTAATCACAGAAAAACTTGTAACGCTTAAAACTTTATAACATCGTTAAAAAAACATTAAAAAAACTACAAAAGCATCAAAACTCGTTAGTAATTCGTTTTGATAATTTGATATGACATACCCAAGCAAATGTTTTCCTTTTTCTTGGAGTCAGGTTGTTATATCTAGCCTTTGTGTTCGGTGTAAGTTTCTATTTGAATAGCCAAGGATACACCGTGAAACACAGATTAGACAAGTCGTTAAACTGCTCATACAATCTCCTAACTGAGTAAGCCTGCATACCTCTGTAAAACTGAAGTCGAGCTCCTCTTCACTTTCGGTAGGTGTAGTTGTATTTTCGCGATATTGCATGACTTGACTATTTTTAAATGCTATACAAATGTGTTATTAAAGGTTTCAAAAAATTTAATATGCTGATGAAATACTCAAATAGTAATCCTCATCTGATTCTGTTATTTCTGTATACCTTCTAACTTTATCCTCAACTCGTTTTCGAGAGTGTCCAACTTTCGCAACCTTCGTCCGATATTGTTGTTGCTGGATTGTTCATTTCTTCCATATCACTCTCATTGGGGGCATCATCCCGAATTCCACTGGCTAATGAGTAATATTGTTAGAAAACGATTACATTCAAGATACAAAACAAGCCTAAACTTCGAACCAGAAAGAATTGCATAGAAACTTTATTTAAAACTTTCTTACCATACGCTATCATATGTTGCGTGAATGGCATCAGTTTCCCCAGAGGAATTCGGTACGCTCTTTTCTGGCAAACGTGTTTCCTTTTAATCATTTGCTCCAAGGTGCATTCCCTGTCTTTGCCGAAGTATATCCCTATTGTCCCCGGCTCCCGTACAAGCGTACTTTGCAATTCTTTGAATTCCTATTAAAACAAACATTTTGTGAAATGCAGTCACAAGACCGCGTTAGACTCCAAAACTGTACGTGTTACTCACTGTATGTGAAATATCGACAAAACTGTCGACAGCAGTTGACAGTAGCGCAATGCCTGGAACCTTCATCCCTTCGATGTTGTTGACAGTAACTTTAGGGTGCAGCCATGTAAGAATCTTAAAAGAGATCAGCAAAATCTGTGAATGTTATATCCAAGGAAATCGAACACTGTGTATATGGCGCCATTTAATACTTTATTTCGTTCGGAATTTTTTTTATGTAAATAGAAAAATGAAAGAAAACAAACCCGGTCTTTTTCCTCGGCTATCTTTTCAATGATGTAAGCTTCTAGCCTTTGCATTGTTGAACGTATACTGACTGTCTGCACCTTTAATAACTCGCCGCATGCAAACAATACGTAATCTTTGGTGTTCGCTTGGTTACCACACGAGAGACGTAACTAGAATGAGAAACATAAGTCATTTAAAAATGAACTCTATTATTGAAAACTAGTCCGATCTATTTTTTGCGAGTTATTTGAGTTTCACATACCAGAGCATTTGCGACAAGTACCGCGGCAATACCAGACAACCACCTTGCCTGCACCTTCAGGTCGTTTTCATCGAAGATCGCTTGGACGACCTCTTCGACAATTTCACGCGCATGTTCAAAAACCTCAGCCCATAACTCCAGGTATTTAATTGCCCAGACAAGCAAAATACCCTATATAACAATGACATATTGGTCATGGATTTTGAAGGTATAGTAGCCTAAAATAACTTATGATTAAGTTGAAGTACACGACGTTTACATTTCCATAGACTAAAATATACCTTGTTTTCTTGCATGAACTCTCGCATAACCTTTAGTTGCTTGTCGTTAAACTTGGCTTGTTCATTCCGTTCCTTGTTCCAGCTCACGTAATTAAACCTAATAACTCTCCCTACTAATCTACAATGAAACAGATTTCGAAGGTTAATGTTAATAACGTAATTTCAGTTTAAGAATTAAAAGACAATTCATTAATAATTGCATAAGTGTACTACCGGGAAACTTCGGGAGAATTCGTCGATATTAACGTGGCGGCCTTGATGGATGTCATCCCCACCTTATTTGATCCAGACATCAGTCGCCCTTGTGCTTGCAGCAGAAACTCGTTAAAGTTAACATTGGGTTTAGGGTCATCAATCATTATGACCCCAGTCGTTCTCGATGCTATCTCTTGCATTTTCTTTCTAATTAAAATAATTGAAGTCTGCTTTTCAAACATTTGCGAAAAAATTTTTTTATACAACAACGTATAATTTTAACGTGAAACTCACGTAGATGTTCCACATGTCTGGGAGTCTCCACCACTTAGTAACATTACGTGCAATCGATTGGGAATTCCAACACCCCGAGCAAGGAGATTTAGACTCTCCGATTTCCCTATGCTCCTTTCTTCGGAGAATATCATGCCAATAGAACTCTCTCCTAAATGACGAAGACGTTAAAAACAAAGGTAACTATGAGAAAAGAAATTGAAACATGGTAATACTGTCTATGGTAGTACTGTACAGTGAAGTTATTACGTCTTTCACTTTCCGCGATTGAGCTACCTGTTCATTCAAACAGTAACTTACTCCAAACATCTTCAGGATTGAGAGCATTCCTCAGCAACCGAGCCACAGTGAATGCTGTTGCCAGCAAAAATGAGTCCATATTAGGGCCCAAGCATTGCGAAAGTAGTATGAACCTTACAAAAAAATGAATATATAATTAAAAAATTATTTGGTATAATCGTTTATGTAGTCCAAGTGACACTTGAAATAGTTGGCCAAAAAGTCTAATAGTGCGCTGTAGATGTTTCGTAGCCCAAAAACACCGCATTTTTACCTTGCAACAGAACGATTCAACTTTGCGTAATCGTTCAGTAAGCTTTCGTTAATTTGCAATTGGTGGTTTTTTAAAGACTTGTCCAATATTAGATACTTATGATCAATTGGATCTAACACTTTACCATTCTCAATATGCACCTGTAATAATTGAAATTGAATAATTAAATAAACTAATAAAGAGAACGTTCCCAGTGGCTAAACAAAATGCTTTCAGTTGGAGAAGGGATATAAACTAAACGCAAACTTTAGAAATCAACAGATCTCAATATTCTAGTTTTGGTTGTTTCGTTTTAGAATAGTTATGTTTTTCTTTCAAATGCACAACTAGGTAAATATCTATACAAGCGTAATACAACATACATCATTGGAAATAATCCAGTAGTTATTCCCTTGGTATCCCATGAAACGCGTTTCATGGAAAACCCTTTTGTTCTCCTGTTGGGAGAAGTCTTCTTTCAGGTAGCAGGCGTACGAATGGACGACAGCTGACGTCACGTGCGGCCCCAATAAGAACGTTCCTTCTCCATAAGCAGCTCTTAATGAGTCAATGAAACGTTGCTTGGAGTCGAAACAATTGACGTTCAATACGATAAGTCTGAAAAAATAACCAGATGGCACATGCAATTGTATCGTTCGCGTAGTCTTTGAAAGCTATCTACTTCTAAACTATTCATAAGAACATGTTTATACTTAAAAATCCGGCACATTATAATTAATCCTCGGAAATAAGAAGAAATTGGCAGAAATTGGTCAAAACGTGAGCACTGACGCTTGCTACGACTGCTACGCTTGATAGGCTTGCTACGACTGTTACGCTTGATAGGCTTGCTACGACTGCTACGCTTTCTACGCTTGCTACGCTTGCTACGCTTGCTACGCTTGCTACGCTTGCTACGCTTGCTACGCTTGCTACGCTTGCTACGCTTGCTACGCTTGCTACGCTTGCTACGCTTGCTACGCTTGCTACGCTTGCTACGCTTGCTACGCTTGCTACGCTTGCTACGCTTGCTACGCTTGCTACGCTTGCTACGCTTGCTACGCTTGCTACGCTTGCTACGCTTGCTACGCTTGCTACGCTTGCTACGCTTGCTACGCTTGCTACGCTTGCTACGCTTGCTACGCTTGCTACGCTTGCTACGCTTGCTACGCTTGCTACGCTTGCTACGCTTGCTACGCTTGCTACGCTTGCTACGCTTGCTACGCTTGCTACGCTTGCTACGCTTGCTACGCTTGCTACGCTTGCTACGCTTGCTACGCTTGCTACGCTTGCTACGCTTGCTACGCTTGCTACGCTTGCTACGCTTGCTACGCTTGCTACGCTTGCTACGCTTGCTACGCTTGCTACGCTTGCTACGCTTGCTACGCTTGCTACGCTTGCTACGCTTGCTACGCTTGCTACGCTTGCTACGCTTGCTACGCTTGCTACGCTTGCTACGCTTGCTACGCTTGCTACGCTTGCTACGCTTGCTACGCTTGCTACGCTTGCTACGCTTGCTACGCTTGCTACGCTTGCTACGCGTGCTACGCTTGCTACGCTTGCTACGCTTGCTACGCTTGCTACGCTTGCTACGCTTGCTACGCGTGCTACGCTTGCTACGCTTGCTAGGACTGCTACGACTGCTACGCTTGCTACGACTGCTACGCTTGATAGGCTTGCTACGACTGTTACGCTTGATAGGCTTGCTACGACTGCTACGCTTTCTACGCTTGCTACGACTGCTACGCTTGATAGGCTTGCTACGCTTGCTACGCTTGCTACGCTTGCTACGCTTGCTACGCTTGCTACGCTTGCTACGCTTGCTACGCTTGCTACGCTTGCTACGCTTGCTACGCTTGCTACGCTTGCTACGCTTGCTACGCTTGCTACGCTTGCTACGCTTGCTACGCTTGCTACGCTTGCTACGCTTGCTACGCTTGCTACGCTTGCTACGCTTGCTACGCTTGCTACGCTTGCTACGCTTGCTACGCTTGCTACGACTGCTACGCTTGCTACGACTGCTACGCTTGCTACGACTGCTACGACTGCTACGCTTGCTACGACTGTTACGCTTGATAGGCTTGCCACGCTTGCCACGCTTGCCACGCTTGCCACGCTTGCCACGCTTGCCACGCTTGCCACGCTTGCCACGCTTGCCACGCTTGCCACGCTTGCCACGCTTGCCACGCTTGCCACGCTTGCCACGCTTGCCACGCTTGCCACGCTTGCCACGCTTGCCACGCTTGCCACGCTTGCCACGCTTGCCACGCTTGCCACGCTTGCCACGCTTGCCACTTGCCACGCTTGCCACGCTTGCCACGCTTGCCACGCTTGCCACGCTTGCCACGCTTGCCACGCTTGCCACGCTTGCCACGCTTGCCACGCTTGCCACGCTTGCCACGCTTGCCACGCTTGCCACGCTTGCCACGCTTGCCACGCTTGCCACGCTTGCCACGCTTGCCACGCTTGCCACGCTTGCCACGCTTGCCACGCTTGCCACGCTTGCCACGCTTGCCACGCTTGCCACGCTTGCCACGCTTGCCACGCTTGCCACGCTTGCCACGCTTGCCACGCTTGCCACGCTTGCCACGCTTGCCACGCTTGCCACGCTTGCCACGCTTGCCACGCTTGCCACGCTTGCCACGCTTGCCACGCTTGCCACGCTTGCCACGCTTGCCACGCTTGCCACGCTTGCCACGCTTGCCACGCTTGCCACGCTTGCCACGCTTGCCACGCTTGCCACGCTTGCCACGCTTGCCACGCTTGCCACGCTTGCCACGCTTGCCACGCTTGCCACGCTTGCCACGCTTGCCACGCTTGCCACGCTTGCCACGCTTGCCACGCTTGCCACGCTTGCCACGCTTGCCACGCTTGCCACGCTTGCCACGCTGCCACGCTTGCCACGCTTGCCACGCTTGCCACGCTTGCCACGCTTGCCACGCTTGCCACGCTTGCCACGCTTGCCACGCTTGCCACGCTTGCCACGCTTGCCACGCTTGCCACGCTTGCCACGCTTGCCACGCTTGCCACGCTTGCCACGCTTGCCACGCTTGCCACGCTTGCCACGCTTGCCACGCTTGCCACGCTTGCCACGCTTGCCACGCTTGCCACGCTTGCCACGCTTGCCACGCTTGCCACGCTTGCCACGCTTGCCACGCTTGCCACGCTTGCCACGCTTGCCACGCTTGCCACGCTTGCCACGCTTGCCACGCTTGCCACGCTTGCCACGCTTGCCACGCTTGCCACGCTTGCCACGCTTGCCACGCTTGCCACGCTTGCCACGCTTGCCACGACTGCCACGACTGCCACGACTGCCACGACTGCCACGACTGCCACGCTTGCCACGACTGCCACGCTTGCCACGCTTGCCACGCTTGCCACGACTGCTACTCTTGCCACGACTGCTACGCTTGCCACGAGTGATACGCTTGCTACGCTTGCTACGCTTGCTACGCTTGCTACGCTTGCTACGCTTGCTACGCTTGCTACGCTTGCTACGCTTGCTACGCTTGCTACGCTTGCTACGCTTGCTACGCTTGCTACGCTTGCTACGCTTGCTACGCTTGCTACGCTTGCCACGCTTGCCACGCTTGCTACGGCTGCTATGCTTGCTACGCTTGCTACGACTGCTACGCTTGCTACGACTGCTACGCTTGCTACGACTGCTACGCTTGCTACGCTTGCTACGCTTGCTCAGGGGCGTAACTTGACCCTAAAAGTTGGGGGGGGTGTGAAGCAAATTTGCCCTACCAAAGGGCGTGACCTGCAACAAATACGAGGAAAAGGGCGTGGCAACCAAATGCAATTATAGCTCTTTTTGATAGGCTGTGAGACAGTTATATATTTATTACGCAAACCCAGCTGCATAAAACTGAAAGCGAGATTTTGATATATATTTCGGAAATTATTGAGATCTACGAGGCGCCACCATGGTTGGCACCGAGAGAAAGATTTTCGAAAATTCGGTCCTGTAGATCGTCGGAAACGGCCTTCTCAGACTGGCAACTTTCTCTCGAATTGTAAGTCGCACCCATGCCTAATTTTCAAGACTTCCCGCACCCGAACTGATTTTCAAGAAGTATTCATATGGTTTTTTTTATCAATTTGGGCAAAAATTGTCCAGCCTGAACCCAGCGGTCTGCCCTGCAAATTCCCAACAAATTGCCCTACCAAAACACTGTTTTCAACAATTGGGGGGGTGTCACTCCCCCTACACCCCCCCAACAGTTACGCCCCTGCGCTTGCTACGACTGCTACGCTTGCTACCACTGCTACGCTTGCTACGACTGCTACGCCTGCTACTCTCGCTGCGACTGCTACGCTTGCTACGACTGCTACGCTTGCTACGCTTGCTACGACTGCTACGCTTGCTAGACTTGCTACGCTTGCTACGACTGCTACGCTTGCTAGGCTTGCTACGCTTGCTACGACTGCTATGCTTGCTAGGCTTGCTACGCCCGCTAGGACTGCTACGTTTGCTACGCTTGCAAGGCTTGCTACGACGGCTGCGCTTGCTACACTCGCTATGTTAGTGCTGTATAAACATTTACGCCTATCTTATAGTATTCAAAACCCGGCAATAAACAAGTGTGACAAAACAGTCTGACAAAATATTTGCAGCGAAGATTCATTTTGAACGACCTCTTGTATAATTCAATTTTTCATTATTAGCATCTATTAATTATTAACAAGTGTTAGACCAATCACAAAAGACTTTCTGAGCACTGTGAGCTGACTCGTGGTCGGACACGCCCACCTAATCTAATCATGACGTCACATCCGGTTGGCGGGGCTTATTTCGCTACCTTCTTACGCTTTGACTTTCAACTTCTGATTTTTTGTGGGCGTGGTCGGAAACGCCCACTGAATGTAACTATGACGTCACTTCTGGTAGGTGGGGCTTATTTCGCTACTTCCTTATGCTTTTACTTTCAACTTCCGATTTTTTGTGGGCTTGGTTAGACACACCCACTGAATCTAAATATGACGTCACTTCCCGTAGTGTCAGGGCTTATTTCGCTACTTCCTTACGCTATGACTTTCAACTTCCGATTTTTTGCGGGCGTGATCAGACACGCCCACTGAATCTAATTATGACATCACTTCTAGTAGGCGGGGCTTATTTTGCTACTTTTTTACGCTTTTCAGAGAATCACTTTTATCCCGAGATTCATTCTTGGAAGGATTCACTTTTTTCTCAAGATTCATTTTGGATTCAGTTTTTTCTCCACATTCAGATTCGGAAGAACTTTTTTCTCGAGATTCATTTTCGGAAGGATTCAATTTTTTCTTGAGATTCATTTTCAGTTTCACTTTTTTCTCCAGATTCATTTTCAGATTCGAATTTTTTCTCGAGATTCATTTTTGGATTCACTTTTTTCTTGAGATTCATTCTCGGAAGGATTCACTTTTTTCTCAAGATTCATTTTTGGATTCACTTTTTCTCGAGATTCATTCTCGGAAGGATTCACTTTTTTCTCGAGATTCATTTTTGGATTCACTTTTTCCCGAGATTCATTTTTGGATTCACTTTTTCTCGAGATTCATTCTTGGAAGGATTCACTTTTTTCTCGAGATTCATTTTTGGATTCACTTTTTCCCGAGATTCATTCTCGG